CAGGAATGGCTAAGGTGCTTTCAGTGTCCTTGTCCTTCCAACTTGAGTGGCTGAGTTACCTGTAAAACAGCTATCAAACTACTAGGATTAAATGATGTTGTTGCAGAAATGATGGCCTTTGGCTGTATTACTATTTACCACATATTTGTAAAGAAATATCCACCAGAATGAAGCAGGATGTGCACTGCTCTGATGGAGATGTGCCACAGCACTGAGGTTGGCCAGTCACCCAACAGCTGGGTGGAAAGCTGAGGACATGTCTCAAGTGATTGTCCCCTGCTGGGGTACCAGCACCCTCAGATATGCTTTGTATTTTGACTGGATGCCTGTAAATCAGCATGTCTGGAATTCTTTAGAGGGTCAGTCGACCACCAATTTCCTGGATGTATGTTTGGCTTGGAATAGTTTTCCTATCCTTGTAATTATTTTAGTTTTACATGCAATTATTTTTATACTTCCTTCTTTTAGCATATTGCTGATATTTTTAACTTTAAGCTTATTCCAGCTAGGTCTTTCCTGGAGAATTAGGAACAAAATTGCTTTTTAAAAGGTAGAATTCAGCAACATCAGCCTTAAAACTTTGATTGAAAAAACCCACAACAGCCTTTGGGGCTTCTCTGTAGAACTCTTCCAAATAATTGCCAAGGTTGAGCTATTTCAGTTGTGTGATTAAAAATACTCCTCTCCTTGATTTAAAAAGCAGGCCTGTTTCTTTCAGGCAGTTTGATGCAAACATTACAGAGTCAGCACTCTCTTGGGCCCCTGTCAGGAGCAATGTCTTAGATGTGTTTAAATTAACTGCATTAGGGACACCAGAGAGATCTGCTTTCAGTGGTCCCAGTCTACCCTTTTGTATCTCAAATATCTCACTGTGATTAATACCTTGGCTACTGCTGAAGTTTGCAAGCCATCTACTTCCATGCCCGAGACGTGAAAGATGCCCATTGATGTGAGCTCTTAATCCACCATCTCTGCACTGAACCTCATTCTTCTGGGTTTTGACACTCTGCTGGAAGGCTTTTGGGTAGGTTATTGCTGATATTATTAATTTTGGCATATGCACTAGACAAAATAGTTTGGTTTTTTTCCTCTTCCTAAACCAATGCAGGTCATTGGTCAGCAAGATGCCAGTTTGGTGTATTCTGGTCTTCTTGTTTCCACCTCGTCAACTTTAAAAACAGATGGGCATTTCCTTCCTCTTTTTCCCTGTGATTCTGCATCTGCTCAGTTTTCTATTATTTCTCTTGGTGACATCTACAAAATGTAGAGAGGCTTTCATATACATCCCAGGCAAAGGATACACAAGGGCTATACAACGGTATACAAGGGTTCCTGACAATACACATATACATAAAGAGCAGCACGGAGAGGGAAAGAAAAAAAAAACACTAAATGGGTATGAAAATCTTATCACCATGCTGTTCTTGTGTAGTATTACTTTCAGACATATTCAGTACTTTGCATAACGCTTTTCATGTAAGAATTTTTGAAAACCCTATGGGAATGAAGCACAAATTCCCTAGCTGATTTTTGCCAGACTTTAGTAAGTAAACCAGCAGAACTACAAATAAATCCATAGTCTTTTCCACTTTACTACCTGTTCTTCCCCACCTGAACATGTAAATTTCTCAAAAGTAGAATTTATTTTTACATATAACCATGTGAAATTACCATTTTATAGCTGGGGATTTGAAGCACACCATAGGATAACATCCACACCAAGTTCAGACAACCGTGCAGCTTGGCCAGCAGCTACCCCTAAGTTTTCACAGCCCACATCCACTGCCCTGTTTACTGGCCAGATCATCATCTGTGCCTAAAAAGGTGACAATTACTCCAGAGCACCTGAAAGACACATTTTCAGCTGGCAGCTCTGTTTTGCATTCTATTTAGTGCTTCTACTTATTTCTGCATGATACCATCTGGATTCTACCCCCTTTCTACTTCCTTATGCAATTTCCTAAGTTCCTGTACATATTTTTTGCATTTTATGGACAATCAGCAATTTTTCTAAGCTCCGTGAATGCAGCTTAGCATTCCTTCACTTTATTTTTAGCCCAAACTGGCTACTAGGAACTGCAGTTTGCTAGCTTTGAGCCCGCTGAGGCAGCTGACTCAGAGACCAGCCTGGCAGATGGCTCAGTGCCTTTCTAAAGCTAAGCGAAAATGGATCTTTGTCATTTCTGACACACCAGCTGGTTGCAAATCATCGAATACAGCTGATCTTTGAGGTGTGTCTGCACACGGTGCCTGCAGGGCCTCAGCACCCCAACCCCACCCCAATTGAGAAAACACCCTCCATTCACTCCCAATTGACTTATCTTGGTTTTGTTTGGGTTTAGAATAGAATAGAATAGAATAAATACAGTAGACTAGTTCAGTTGGAAGGGAGCTATAAGGATCACTAGCTCTGCGGGCTGACCAAAAGTTAAAGCATGTTAAGCTCCTCCTAAACGCTGACAGGGTTGGGGCACGAAATACCTCTCTAGGAAGCTTGCTCCAGTCTCTGAGCGCCCTCTCGGTAAAGAATTGCTTCCTAATGTCCAGTCTAAACCTCCCCTGGTGCAACTTGAGGCTGTTTTCTCTTGTCCTATCGCTTGCTACTTGGGAGAAGAGACCGATTCCCACCTCGCTACAACCTCCTTTCAGGTAGTTGTAGAGGGCGTAAGGTTTCCCCTCAGTATCCTTTTCTCCAGCTCCCTCAGCCTCTCCTCATAAGACTTGTGCTCTAAACCCTTCACCAGCTTTGTTGCCCCTCTCTGGACATTTACTTGTGTTTGTTTGGTTTTTTCTCCACGTCGTGCTGCAGCATCGAGAGCTGCCCTTCCGTTAGCAGAGAGCCGGATCGCTGCACACCGGCTGACCCACCCGCTCTGGGGCAGGCCCCTGTCGCCAGGCAGCACCGCCCTCCCGGGACGGCCCCACCCCAAGGGCGGTGCTCCGCTCCCCCCGTACCGGGAGGGCCGGCGGGCGCCGCTGCTGAGGCGCGGGAGGTTGTAGGATCTTCGCTCTGGCGGGCAGGAGTGCTCATTGCCGACCGGGAGGAGCCGGGGGACGCGGCCGCCGGGGAGGCGGAGCCGGGTGGGACGGATGGTCGGACGGACTGTGCTTTGCAGGGCTCATGGTGAGCGCTGCTGGGCGGGAGGCGCTTGGGATGTTTGGGTACCTCTCCCCGGATTAAAGGCTTTCCGAAGCTGTCCGGCAGGCTGAACGTCTCCGTGGGAAGGGCTGCGGAGCTTCCCGGCGCCGGGTTTTGTTCTCTGCCGGTGCCTTCTCCGGCTCGGCAGCCTTTCCGCCGCGGAGCCGGGGCGCGGGGGCTTCACCGGGTCTGCTCCGTCTCTTCCTTCTGCGGGGTACGGGGGATCAATGCGTTGCCCTTATGCCTGTGGTAGGCATTACCCTTGTCCTGTTTCTAATACATTTTCTAAGCGAGGCTCTTTCTAACAAGGGATTTCTGTTATTGCTGCGCTCTGCTCTTCAGTAAGCTCATAAGCACGCAAGGTCAAGACCGAAAACAGTTCGGAATATTAAAATGTCGAGTCTGCAAAACAGATGGAGAATAGTGGTTAACGTGGCGGTGACTGTAATTCTTTCTTTATTGCTTTCAGGTACTCTACGGCATCGGAAAATAAGCGTTTTGCTATCATGTCTCTCCACGCAGTAGCTCTGGCCAGCTGCAGCGGGACCCGAATCTTCAAGCACCCCCACGCTACAGAGGTAAAGCTGCTGGCTCGGTGTTTTTGTTAAATGGGAGGGGGGCTTTTTTTAAAAAATAGCTGTTAGTTGTCAGTGGTTGTGGTAAATGACTTATTTTTAAATGCTGGTGGTTTCATCACAGAGTTAATTTTATACAATCCCTATATTGAGGGGAGGAAGGTTGTCTCATTTATGCTATGAAAGATGTCAAATTGTCAGTGGATTTTATTGGGTATGGCAGCGTGTTGTAGTACTTTTCATGCATCTCTCCTGTAATATTTCCTTGTAAGTCATCTTCAATTTTTTTTTCTAGCTTGATAGCTGATGCTGAAGGAACTCTT